GGTGTTGTACTTTCAGGAAAATACCCTAAGGGACAAGGAATGAGTAGCTGCTGCCCCTCAGCTCTAGAACAGCTGCAGCAGACCATCAGGCTGGGGCACCAACTGGGCTCTGCATCCTCCTGTAGCATCAGTACTGTGTGATGGAGCTCAGCTGAAAGGAGGTCTCTTGTCAGAGTGAAACAGCACAGTGTTCTTTCTTGTGATGAGACGCTAAAGCAGAGTGACAGTGAGCAGCAGGGCTGCGCTGAGCCTCAGGATGCACAGCAAGGTCACCGAGGGGAACGAGAAGCAGCTCACTCTTCCTGGAGATTCCTGGGAAGTGAATACAGCCTGGGGAGTGGAGAGGTAGACAGTGGGATTTAGAAACCTTCTTCACAGCAACCTTGATTGAACTATTGGAATAGTAAGTCTTGGTTGGTAATAGGCCTGTGGCTGGTGTCTGAGAGTCTTTCTGTTACTATCTAATATATGTTCAGTCAAACAAATATTTAAATGTAAAGAAATTAGGTTTTTGTGTCTTTGATCTAATCTGCATAAAGGCCCTTTCCCTGTTAGAGAGCAGTGCCCCCTTGGGGCCAAACATAAACACAATTTCACAGTTTCAATGTGCTGCTTTCTCAAGTCATTGCCTTTCCTGTTCTTCTAGAATTGATTAGCAAAGCTTGATCATATTGTGCTGAGCATGACCCATGCTTTCTAAGGCATGAAATTTGTGACCTCTACAAAAAGAAGAGTATAAAAAATAAACAAAAAATGGACACAAACTGTTTTAGTTAGGCTGAAGAAGCAAGCTCCACTGGAAGCAGAAGCCAGGAGCAAATCCAGTCCCGGGAGCTACCCGGGAGCTAACCGAGTAACAGTTACCTATCAGTGAGGCAACTTTGTGTCAAAGGAAGAAAACAAAGGACAGAATCCTTTTCAGACAGATCAGAGTGCACAGTGTAGTAGCAATGAGCAGTGAGAGCAGAGAAAAAAAAAAAACTCGAAGCAGTGTTATACTCAGTAATATACGGAAAGGAGTTACAGATTCCAACACCAGAAACTGAAAATGAATGAACAAGACTTAGAGTTAAGGCATGAAAAAACAAATAGTTGTAATGTAAAACAGCTTTAGTTAAAGGCTGTGAAATCTTGCTGGCTAAACATATGTGTACTACAAAGTGACCATGGATTGCATGAGAAAGTTTAATCTAATCATTCATCCAGGCCAGATACAAAATATGTTTATGGTATCTTTATCATCACCTGGAAAATGACAATTGTAACTGAGGGGTATTTGGTGAAGAACAGTCTTTAAAATGTTTTACTTTTTGAATGTAAGTTAAAACTCAAGAGGTCATAGGCCCTACTGGGAATTACATTGTCATTTTGCTAAATGGTCATGTCAAACTACCTTCTATGTGTGTGTGTGTGTATACTCACAGCCTCCACTTCGGTTGGAGTATGTGTCTCAGGAAATTTCTATAATGAAAGATTTTTATAATGTTTTATTTCAAAATGCTTTTAATGTTAGTAATCCATCCCACTTTCCTTCTTCCACCCACTTACCTGAAAATTCCATTTTTCTTAATAGTTGAATTATATCCCACTATGTAAATTACCATATTTTCACAATTCGCTCATCAGTTGATGGGTATATAAATTATTTCCAATTCCTCGTGATTATGAATAGAGAATTAATGAACACAGAAGAACAAATATCCCTGTAGATATAGACTCGATTAAATTCTAAAGAGTGATACAGCTAGATCTTGTGGGAACTATGTCAGCATTTGGAGGAACCTCCACACTGATTTCCATATTGTTTGTACCTATTTGCATTCACATCAGCAATGAGTAAGTTTTCTCCCTCATGTCATCCTTTTAGCTGGTGTCTTGGACCTCTGTTCTTACAATCCCTCCTGCTCCATTTGTATGGTGTTCCCTGGCCTTAGGTGTAGCAATAGCATTGTAGATGTATTAACTGGCATTAGAGACTTCAAAGATGTTTATTTTCTGCATTTTTTTACCAGTTCTCAAACACTACAGTAGTTTCTATCTGCTTCAAAATGAAATTTCTTTCATTAGGACTGAGACGTACACTTATATGTGTATATAATTACATGTATTTAGAATATAATTAGAAGCTGAATTGATTTAGGAAAGTGGCCACAGTAGGTTCTCTAGGGTCTATGACCTTTTCAGATGTAGGTGATTAACTAGGTTTATAGTACTGGGCCTAGTATCCTTCCTAATGAGTGGACTATATGTCCAACATGATATATATCCATTTTACCAGGGTGAAAGTGCTACTACTGCACCATGGTAGATATCCTGCCATTGAGGACATTGTTTTGGTTCATAGTCTTTAAGACTCAGTAGGATTATTTATTACTTGTATCCCTTGGAATCTTGAATATACTATGAGAACTTGTTCTTAAATGAGATCATTTCTAGGTAAATTCCTCCAAGCCCTGTGTCTGAAGGATGTGGTACTCTTAGCGAAAGAGTCTTACTTTCAAATTCTATGAGCCAAACAAGGGTAATGGAAATAGCCTGTTTTGTTTGGAAAAGACTCTTGAAACCCCTTACTAGAAACTTGAAGGGAAGTTTTCATGCCTGGCACTGGGGCTATTATTAGATTTAGCCTTAACTTTAGGTCCATCAAACACTCATCTTGAGATTCTGTTCTGTGCTGTGCCATTTGAAGTAGATTTCAGGAGTTCAGAAATGCAGATTAACATTCTATTTTAGTCCCTAACCAGTAAGACAGAGTGTACTCATTTTTAAGCAGATAGACCAGTCACTGTGCTATGATCATTACAAATTCTATGAGTTTATTGGTTTTCTAAATTCTTCTCTCATATACTACATTCCTACAGCAGTCCCATTCCTTTTCCCCCATAAAAGTTACCCCCCACCTCCCTTTCCCCAAGATCCACCCCCATTTGTCCTTCCTCAGAAAAGAGCAGCCCTCCCAGGGACATCAACCAAACATGGCACAACAAACTACAGTAAGCCCAGACACATACCATTACAACAAGGCTGGATGAGGAAAATTGTCCCATAAGCAGGCAAAGGAGTCAGAGACAACTCCCACTCCCACTGTTACAGATGCTACAAGGACACTAAGTTCCTCAGCCATAACATATGCAGAGGGTCAGATCCCTATAGGCTCCCTGACTTCTGCAGGCCTGTATGAGATCCAGATAGTCAATTGTGTGGGCTGTGCTCTTGTGGTGTCCCTGACCACTCTGATTCCTCTGGTCATTTCTTCCCCTCCTCTGCAGGACTCCCCAAACTCCCCCCAATATTTGGCTGTGGGGCTCTTCATCTGCTCCCATAAGCTGCTAAGTGAAGACTCTCTGATCCCTTTGATGATCATTCTGCTAGATTCCATCCAGTTCAAGATATGTACATTTTTGCAGTTCTTTGTGTACACAAACATGAAACTTTTTTTGAGAGACCTCATTGCCTTTTATTTCAGATCATTCTTCCTTTATAGAGAAATAAATATGAGTACTAGAGCATGTTACTCTAAATCAGTATTTTGAGATGGATCAAAACCTTGGCCTTTCCTTTTCCATATTTCACAGAATTATCAGAGAACCCTAATTATCAGAGTACTCTAATCCCAGATGAGGGACTACACCATGTGCTTAGAATTTAAGTGAAGTGCAATGGAGGATGAGAAAGGACACGAAAGGGAAAGGATTTCTCAAAAGAGTCTTTCATGATCAGATGGCCTCCTACATGGCATGCAGGAAAGAGAAGAAGCTGCTCTCAGGCCATCATCTTGAGAGAGCCAAGAGCTCTATTTCCTGAGCAGCTGCACAAAGTGAAGACTGTTGGGGAGTTGTTGCATTAGGAGCGGCAGGGCTGCGTCCCCGGCACCCGGCCGCCCGCATGGCTAGGTTATGCCCCGAAATAATTACATGGAAACTGTATTTTTTTTAAACACTGCCTGGCCCGTTATCTGTAGCCTCTTATTGGCTAGCTCTTACATATTGTTCTAACCCATTTCTAATATTCTGTGTAGGCCACGAGGTGGCTTACCAGGGAGGATCTTAACCTGCCTCTGTCTGGAGTGGGAGAATCATGGCGACTCCTGACTAAGCTTCTTTCTCCCAGCATTCTCTTCTGTTTACTCCACCCACCTTTGGGTTGGCCTATCAAGGGGCCTAGGCAGTTTCTTTATTAATAAGAAATCACTCCCACATCAGGGAGTGTGAAGGTTACAGTGATAATGGCCCTCATAGGATCTGAATGTTTGGTTCCCCGTTGGTGGACTGTGTAGGAAGGGTCAGTAAGTGTGGCCTCATCAGAGGAGGTGTCACTTGTGGTGGCTTGGAAATCTCAAAGCCCAAGCTGGGCCCAGTCTTCCCCTCTCTCAGCCTATTGCTTATGATCAGAAAGAAGCACTCACCTACTCTTCCATGCTTTCCTGCCTGCTGCTATGCTCGCCACCATGATGGTCATGGACTCACCCTCTGAAACTGTATTCAAGACCTCAATTACATGATTTCTTCTGTAAGTTGCCTTGGAGATGGTTATCTCTACAGCAAAAGAACAGTAACTGAGACTGGAAGTCAGGTTGAACTCTCTGTAACATGGACCAGGTAGAGGAAGAATCTAAGTAACTTGTGGAGTGAGACTGAAGGAGATTTTCAAAGATTAGAGTCTATGTTCTTCATTTGGTCATAAATTTGCAGGCTAGTAACAAAATATTGTAAGAGAAGATCTATCACTAAGTTTTATAAGACATCTTGGTAGAGATAAATCCTGTCAGAATTTTTCAGGAGATGTTTTCTGTGAGAGATCCTCCACTTAGGGAGAGAACAGTATTTCTGGGGATCAAAGCCCAAGTTGTCTCTGGCAATGACTTCCATCCTGTCCTTTCATAGAAGCCACAGATTCCAAGTTTTCTAGGAATTTGATCAGAAATTTGTTGCTGCATTTCAGGAGGCTGAGCAAACCCCATTTAGAGACATACACAGCCCTCCTTCACAGGGCCACTCCCTTCAGCCCTCCTGTACCGTTGGTTTGTGTGCAGCTTCCCCTGCAGTCTCCCTCACTGTGTCACTCAGAGCACAGTAGTACAGGGCAGAGTCCCACAGCTGCACCGAGGACTTCTGCAGGTGGAAGGAGCTGTTGCTCTTATGGAGAGTGGCATGGAACCCTTGGTGCTCTGTCCTCTTGTTGTCTGTAGCACTCCACAGGAGTAGCTGAGGGGCTTTGTTGGGATATTGCACATACCACAAAGGGAAAGAAGTTGAGTAAGTAGTCTGATAGGTGCAGTTCAGCATCACAGGTGACCCCTCTGTGACAGTAACCAGGCCTTCTGTCTGGGTCACTGAGTCTCCATTGCTCATCCCTGAAAATAAATAATAAATAAATAAATAAGAAGAAATCACTTTTTATGTAAGAAAGTAGGTACAAGCTTCCATAGTTGTAAGAAAATGCCATCATCAGCACTTAGGGTAAATGTAACTTACTGAGCATTAACAGGAGCACCAGGACAGAGCAGGTGTCAGGAAGCATGTTCATAGAAGTCAAGGACACTTGGTTCTTGAGTTCACCAAACTCACAGGCAAGTCTCCTCAGGACCTTACTGAAACTCATAAACAAAGACTTCCTTCTGCACAGTAACAGTCTGTGATGCAAAACCACCACCTGGATGAGACATTAACTCCACCTGAAGAGGCATCGTCTGCTGATTTCTGTTCAAACCACACCACAGATGTCTGCACAACACATGGTGTATGAACTTCTAACCTCACCCAAAGGAGGCAGGTCTCGAGTCCCCAGTGGGTGTGTGAAATCATCGGTGTTACTGAACTATGTGTACCCTTTGGTATTTAGTGTGATGAATATACATAAAATAAGACACACACACATACCTACACATTTGTGATAAAATTTATCTACTTTTTCTCATTTTATTAGTTCTTAGAATATATTATGCAATTAATTTTGATCATGCACACCTGCTCCCTTCAAGCCTGCCAGACCCATCCACTCTTCACGAAACCCAGTTTCGTCCACCCATTTAAAAAATAAAACGCATCAAAGTTCGCATTATAGGATGTGCTACCCATATACACTTGGAAGTGTGGTCTTCACTGGAGGGTGGTATATGCACTAGGAGATTTACCTTTAGAGAAACCTGAGTTTCTTTCCCAGCAGCTACCAACTTCACAAAGCTTCTTAGCTAAGGTAGGAATGAGCACCTTTACTTCTTGATCAAATTTTGTCTGGCCTGGTCATTTGCAAAATGTATGTGTGCTGCAAGTTTCTGTGAGTTCATGTGTGCAGTTGCCCTGCTGTGTCCAGAAAACACATTTCCTTGTAGTCATCCCCCACATTTGGCTCTGACATTTTTTTCATCCCCTCTTCCTCAGTGACCTCTGACCTTGGGAGGAGGTTGTGTGATGGAGATCTGCCATGTGGGAGATCTGCTACAGCATCTTCTCTGAAAAACAGTGAGTTCTGATTATCTGTGATGGTAGTTAAGTCTACAACCAGGGAAAGGGAATGACAAAACTGTGTTTCAAATTTTAAAATACTTTTTGAAAACAAAGGAGAAAATTCTCCAAAAGTGCTTCCGTTACTTGAAGCTAATTTTCTTATTTTGTGTTTTTAATGTCAACATTATAGTTGGCACTTGCCCACTAACAACTGGCATATTTTTTATTAGAAACCTGTGACACAGGATGTGGACGGGGCTCCAGGCTCTATGACAGGTTAGAGGACAGACTGCAGGTGCCTGGGGAGCAGTGTGTATCTGTGGCACAGAAATACATGGCAGAATCTTCAGGCTGGGCATCTGTAATGTGCAGGGAGTAGTGTTTGGCTTTCGTATCCAGAAAAACTATGAGTCTTTCATCATGCTTTCTTTCCATATTTGAATGAATGTCAACAATGAGCTTAGGATGCTCTCCAGGTCCTTGCTTATACCAAAGGAAGTTGTACGAGGTTCTGTCTACATATGTGCAGTTGATGACAGCGCTGGCTCCATCCTGGACTCTCAGGGTAAAAGGATGCTGTTCCACCTGCTCTCCTTGGCTCAGCCCTGTGCAGAAAGACAGAAATAATGGAGAAAGTTGGTCAGGTGATCACTTTACCGAATTATCTCTTATTTTTTTAAATAGTATCAGAGAAAATTTGACTAAAATAGAGTTCCTCCTGGGTGTGTCAGAAATGCCCACAGATTATTCTTTGGCTCTAAAGTCTTAACTCACCATGCCGCTGCAGCCACAGAAACATGAATAAAGAAGGAACATTTGTCTTCATTAGTCCAAATAAATTAAGGCCCAGTATAAATTGTGATGACTTGCTGGTCGGCTACTGCAATCAGGAAGTTGTTCTTTCTAAAGAACAATTCTACCTCTCCAGTCATCCACTCAGCCACTGAGAGAAAGGTTGTGCTTCTGCCCTAAGCCTGAACCATCAGCATTCAAGGAAATAAGTCCTGTGCATTCTCCTAGTAGCTGAGGTCTACTACCTCACCTTAACCAGTGAGGCCTCTGCTTAAGTGTTCTCTGACCTGGGAGGGACTCAGACACATAACACACGGATATGTCATATCAAGTGTGTTCTAATGTTGAGAGATCAAGAATGGTATTTTCATACACTAGTGAGCCTGTTTGCTATCTTTAAATCCAACAAAGCCAATGCATAAGGAAACCAGAGGAGAAAGGTAAACACCAACTCAGCTATAAGTCCTTTGATCTACAGTAGTGATCTCCATACATGTTACAGCGGTATGATACAGACACAATTGATATTGGTGTGACCTACCACATTCTGAATGAACTTAGGGCACAATCCATGAAATGGAATTCATGCTCAATACTGCTTCAGTGGCCAAAAATATCATTGTCCAACTAAACATATGCAGAAATATAATGACTTCTAATGACTTAAGTAGTTATTCTCTTTCTTTCTAGTTTAGAGGATAGATAGGTAGATAGATGATAGATTATATAGATAGATAGATAACTTCCATTTATAAATTATATATGATATAAAGAAAATTGGAGCAATTTCACATTTTTTGAATTTTGGAAACTTTTAAAATAAAACTAACAAAGATGAAAGCAGTGGAGATGTTTTCTCTTGAATGTCCATTCTCATAATTCCCGGTGAGATTCGATTTTGCTTGCATCTGTTCAAAGAGTTATTTTAAAATGAATTTATAAACACATAAGTCCTGGTGAACAGGCTATATATCTGTGGCTTTATATACAATGATTGATATCTAAAGATCTGGAATCCGGGATCCGGGAAACTCCACACAGTCACCTTGCTTTGTAAGCGGATTGCCTTATGTCTCTTCTGGGATTGTCAACCTTTAGGCACCTTAAGACAAATTAATTTCACTCCAAATCTACAAAGATACCCTGTCTCGAAAAACAAACAAACAAAAAATAATTTCTAGAAGTCCTGCAGTGTCCCCTAGTGGATGTACACCCCTAACAAAAGTGACTTGATACCATCTCCACACCTCTCACTAAACCCACCCAGATCTCTTCCTGATGAAGGAAATGCAGTTGGTAGGAAAACATGACTGTCTAGATGGAATTCTCAGAAAAAATAAAAATGGCTAAAAAAATCTCAAAATTGTTTATCATCATTAGCAATTAGGGAAATATAAATTAAAACAACTTTGAGATGTCTCTTCACAGTAATAGAAAGCATAACTAAGACAATCATTAAATAAAGAAGAACCATACTACAACTCACCCTGAAAAGATAAGTAGCAAGTAGGTCTAAAGGGGGAAGGCACGAAGCTCACTGTGAAGATGAAATAGAACAGATCATTGATGGTAGATGGGGGAGGGCTCTGGACGGGGATGGGAATGGGAGGAATCTGGTAGTAGGGGGATGGAGTATTGGGAGAGACAACTGGAATCAGGGGCATCTCTGGGATGAGTTAGAAAGTTAGCGCAATGGAAACTCCCAGGAAATCTATTAGGGTGACCCTAGCTAAGACTCCGAGCAATGGGAGAAACAGTGCCTTAACTGGCCATCTCCTGTAACCAGGTAAGACTTTGAGTGCAGGGACTTGGATACCAATCCATCCACAAAAACTTAGACCTACAATTTGTCCTCCCTTTAAGATGTTCATGGGTAAATGTCACAAAGAAATTGTGGGACTGACAAGCCAATGACCAGTCCAGCTTGAGACACATACTGTGAAAAAAAAAACCCACCCCTTAGAATGCCTGGAAGGGCACAACCCAAAGTCTTGATAACCCACAGATCTAGAATAGAAGCAAACACGACTAGAAAATGAAGTCAATGAAATGATTCCTAATGATATTCTGCTATACTCATAGATTGTTGCCTAGCTCAGTTGTCATCAGAGAAGTTTCACTCAGCAACTGATGGAAACAGAGGAAGAAACCCACAGTCAAATATTAGGTGGAGCTCAAGGAATCCTGTAGAGTACTTGGAGTTAGGATTGTAGGAGCCAGAGCGGACAAGGACACCACAAGAAAACCAACAGAATCAACTAACCTGGGCTCATAGAGGCTCACAGAGACTAAACAGACACCCAAGAAGCCTGCATGGGTCTGACCTAGGCCCTCTGTATATGTGTTACAGTCGTGAAAATCTCATTATATTCTTATAAACAAAGACCAAGTTAAATAAATCTAAAAATATACCTATGGAAAAAATTAGAAGTTAGTAAAATGACCTGCTCTGGAAAGGTTTTAGTCTTCATGTGGGTGAGAGAGGGTAGAACATATTCTAAAGCTTGTGCAGAACACGTACCTTCAAGAATTAGCATTTTGATGGCTCTCATTCTGAGTTTGGAAAAACATTTAACATCTTTCTCATATGTAATTTCATAGATGAAATATAAATATTAAACTCAGTTTGGCTCTTATGTTGATATCAACAAGGCATCAAGGCATCGAGTGGAAGTGGAGAATAAATAAAACAGCATCTGCGAAAGCAGGGAGCCTCTGTGCTATAAATACCAGGAGTTAAGAGCCTATGAGGAAGCTACAGCACAGAGAGGATTGTGTTGTGTATGTGACATCATCACATGTTCAATCAGAGTACAACAGCAGGCTTTCATAAGAAATGAGGAAATGCCAATGCTTATTAATCACAGTCAAGCTTTATTAAATAATAGATTATTATATTTGACATGAGTCCTATCTTATTACAAGTCTTATATAGATCTCTTGTACATATGGTGATTATTAAGACATAAATATACTTTTTACACCAAATATTATATTATTACCTTTATTTTTGATATTACAATATAATAACATTAATTCCTCTTTTCCTTTCCTTCTTCCAAAATCTTCCATATATTCCTCTTTGCTGACTTTCAAATTTATGCCTCTTCTTTCACAAATCATTGTTAAATATGGATGAAAATAGATGGTTATCCTTAGATACATGAATACAAACTGTTCAGTCCAAGTAATACTATTTGTAAGTACATTTTCAGGGCTGACCAAGTAGTAATGAATAGCCAATTGCTGTGTTCTTCTCTGGGAAATATTATTTCTCACACTCCCAGCATTCATTAGGTTCCAGTACTTCATTGTCCAGGATTGAGGTTC